CCCCCCCCCCATATTGACCCCCCCAACTCATTCATGTGCTCTCCTTCTTCTAACGTGTACTGTGAACTAGGACTCTACGCTCAACTACATGTAGGGAAGGGCGAACAGAAAAAGATCTGGCAAATGTTGGCACCAGGATGCATTTGACTGTAAAATGAGATGTGAAGTAAAGCCATGAAGTCATTTGTTAGCCACGTGTTACAGCTGCCCTGAGCTCTGATGGATGGATTTGAACTCTTAAACAGACACAAATGCTGATTATATCAATTAACTGTCTCAGAATGTTTGACCCTGCTTTTCATTTGCTACAAAAGATATCATATATTTTAACGATAAAGTAAGCCATTCTTCTTTACCTCTTCTATGAGAGATATGTGCTACAGAATCACATGTGCTTTTTGACACTATTAAACTTGAGGACAGTAATAACTTTATATATATGGCATGCACATAACTTTGTTTATGCACAACTGTTTGCATGTGTTCTTTCAAATAAGCAAATTACAGCAGTTGTGATTGTTAAAGATGACTCATCTCATCAAGCATTGCACTTTTAAAACACTGTTTGACTCATGAACAGTTTAAAAACAACAACAACAACAAATGTAGAACCAGAGTTATCATCCTTTTTACTCCATTCTTCTTCCATATAAAAACCTGGTGCCTACATTGACCGCTGCAATCGACTATTGTATGTTCATGTGTGTTATGCTTTTAGTGTTTAATGTAGCCTTGAGGGAATAGCTTTAGGGGGATAAGAGAGCCACAGAAGACTAATGAGATCACTTCTTTCCAACTTCAAACCAGAAGATTTCCTTTTTTTATTTCAAACGTTTCAAACGTTAAGTCTGAAGACTCAATCAATGCTGACTCAACAGACATCTCCAAACGAGATAAATGGAATAGTTCATTTCAAACATTTTATTCAATTTTTAATCTATTTATTTCACCCTTATAGTAACAAGCAACCCCAAAAGCAAATCAAAGATGAAGAGAAATTGAGAATAGGCTAGAACAGGGGTGTCAAACTCGTGGAGGGCCGGACTGGTTCAATGTTTATTGCAAAACTTATTGAAATGAACTTATTGCACATATTAAACCTGGAACTAACAAAGCTTAAATTATTGCCTATAAAAACAACATTAAATAATCAGTTGCATTCATTTCTTATGGCTCTATCTGCAGCTTTTCCGGAGTCATTTCTTATGATTACATTTTTCCACAGGCCAACACAGCTCAAAAAAACAATTTCCCTCAAAGAAAAAAACAAACATGCCCTGTTGTCGCAAGAAAAAAAGTGCAAAAGGAAACATCCATTGAAACTTAGTTTGCTGCTGTGATGCTAGTTCAAGCCAGATACTTGGCATCTCATCTTGGGTGCAAGTTCATCAATGATTGGGGTCAGGCTCTGAGCTGAGGAAATCCTCAGGATTGAGTGAAGGTGTGCGTGCAATATACCGGCAGGCCAGATCTAATAGTAATTAGAAATGTAATCCACCATGGGCCTGATTTGGCCCCCGGGCCTTGAGTTTGACACATGTGGGCTAGAACCATACTGTTTGAAGAAGAAAAAACAGATAGTATCCCATAACTTTCTCTAAAGAGCTCATATATAGATTATCTTCCCTGAAAGCAACTTGAGCAACATTTTTGAGGAAATTGTGTGCGATATTGTAATAATTTGGTTACAAAGCGCACATGAAATATGTTGTTCAAGATGTTTCTGGAAGATTTGATGGACATCTTGGTTCTGAGTTTGAGATGTATTTGGTGTTCCCACCTTCTTCACTGGAGGGTCAACTGAGACCAAATGAGCCGACAATGACTGAACTTTCATGCCACAGTGAACTTTTTCTTTATTGTGAGGTTAGTAATTTTAAAGCTATACAAACCTAAGGTCATGCTCGGCGGCTAGTTAAACAGCTTATTTCTTGTTTAACATTCACACCCAACTGCAGCCTAAAGGCGTACAGCAGAGGGGCTTCAGAGGCCCACTGACTCTGTCTATTTCAGGACCTTCTATTTATTGCCTAAGTCTTTGGTATGCAAAGGCATTTCTCTCAGGTTTCATGCTCTTCAGGCTCTGTTGCTCAAAGAAGCAATATCTTGGAAAATATCAGGCTTTACCCAAAGCAAATAGATTTAATCTACTCTGGTGATTTCCTCAGTAATAATGAGGTCATGCTGGTGCTGCAACAGACATATCCTCACACCGAGCAGGCTGAGCAGCAAGTGCTCCTGCTGGAGTTTATGTAACAGGTCATGCTTTATAAGGACTGGGTACTATAACAGATATAGGGAAGCAGAAAGTCCCTATAGGGATATTGCAGCAATGTATACACAGAAAATCAACTCAATATTACATCTACCATTAATGTCTCACACGAATATGACCGTTTAAAAAAAATCTTAGATACAAAAGGATAAAATATTGAATTATCATGTTATAAAATATGTTATTCTAAGTATATGTTTACTTTTTGGCTGGTTGTAAATAAATGAATGTTTATGTTCAGGTCTGGTGAGTGTGAAGTATGTTACATCTTTATAACCTACCAGTATATCAAGCAGAACAGATTATAGAAAATCCTTTTCATCAAATAAGCATCATAATCATCATAATCAAGTGAATAATCTGAAGGAGAAAAAAGCAAAGACAAAAGTGTAAAACACACTTACCTGGCTCATACTTGAGGTAGAGGATGGACACGATGTAATAAGCGACATCAAACACGGGAAACATTCCCATTTTTGAGAAAACTTGGGCAATATCGCCCAAATTGAGAGCTGCCAGGACCTCCATGTTGCTTCTATGGTATTCAGAGAGTGTCTGTGTGTTTGTTTTGTATTCCAACTGCGCAATCTGGTTCGTAAAGCCCCCCCAAAAAACCCGGTCCACTGACTCTCCACGAAGCCCCCCGGTCTCGACAGTGAAAGCCTGTGACACTCAAGCCCTGCTATTAATACCTTTCATCTGCACAGCCTCAGCAGCAGCAGCTTCACGCGCTCCGTGCCAGCTGCTCCGCTTTCTACACCACACAGGGCTGCTGGACATTGGCAAAACAAAGGGCTTCTCCTCGTGTGTGCATTGTCGATAGACAAACTCGTTATTTACCTGAGCTACAATCATAGACTGTATACAATACGCGATTTGAAGTGATTGTAGCCTGGAAACACAAAAGAGAATGAGACAAGTGTGCATGGTTTAACACGGACAATAAAGAGTCCCAAACCTCTTCATCCGGATCCTGCACGGAGGCTGCAGACTCACCACCGCCATGTGGCGATATCACCTGCTGTTTACATTCTCAGATGATGCAATCCTTTTTTTTAATTAAAGGCTAATTATGTATATACTATACCACACAAAAACAGCAGGGCAATGTTATGTATTTGATCTACATACATTTAATCAAACAATTTTCTATTTTTGCTCATTTTGGTTTTTAATCCTTGAGGAGAATAACAATGAAAGCAATGAGCTCTGCCACCACCAGAGGGTAGACATTACTCACAATTAAAAACCTAGTGGGTCTATCTTGGTCTATCTTCAAAATGTAAATGTAGTCAAGTTGACATTTATGGATAAACATTTATTTGTCCGTCTGAATTATTCCTCTCCTTTTACATTCCTTATTTGAATCACCAAAATCAAGATGCTTCTGTGATATTGCAAGACGAAATGCTAATTTAAATAATGCAAATTAACGAGGGATAGTGTCTGACTTTATTAAAAATATATTTTAATATTCTAATATCGCATGTAACATAATTTAGAATGAGCTTAATGAAGAAGAAAAAACAGCAACCCTCTGCAGTTCTGAACTTGCAGCTGTTATTGCGCTTCTTGTCTCAAGGTGGCGCACATGGATCAGATAGAATGTATTATGAAATGAAAATGGAGAATTTGTCCTAGTTTTAGCTTTGAAAGTTTCGGCAGGTTATCTCATTCACCCCGACCTGCCTCTAATCATACCCTTTAACACTAAATGCTAATATAATGGACTCTACATTTAACTATTCCATTGTCACAACGCACCCCCTTAGAAGGGTTAACCCGAATCTAAATAGTTCTTACCATAATGACGGTCTTAATGTTACAATGCCTTTTCCCCATTCTCTGAAAGAAATACTGGTTATCTCTTAATTATTGGCCTAAAATGAGTATGACTTAAATATAGTGTTTTATAAGTCCAATAATATTAACATCAAACTACGAACTATTTTGTAAGTTTTTGATTGACTAGACCCATTGCATATTAGCTTTAAATGAATTATTGGTAGGAATCCACACTTTTAAAAAACAAACATGAATTGTCCGAGATGAATCTGAAGACACAACCGTACTACTGCCTGGCAGGAACGACCTGTCAGTCTAGCATCAGGGCACAAAACACCACGACAGAATTCTGAAACGGCATTGGTCACATTCTTGGTTGCGTGGCGAACACGGAAGTAAGGCGTCTCTCTGATGTGATGTGAGCAAAATGATCGGGGATCTGTTGATATTCGGGTAATTTATTTGACACTCACATACAAGTACACAATTACATAATTGAAATGTTATTTGTGTGTGTTATCATGCACTGTATTGCTGGTAAGATGGCGATAGGCCAAGCTAAATAACAAGCTAGCTCCGTGCTAATGCCAGCTCAGCAGCTAACGTTAGCTGAACAGGTAAATAACAAACAGTTCTCTCTCCGTGTCCTCCAGGACCTTACTGGTCAATGCAGGAGCTGTGCTGAACTTCAAGCTGTGAGTATTAAAGTTACTGTCACACTTTGTACAACAGCTACAATGCTCGCATGTGAGGTTAAAAATAAATAGAACAATCAATCAGTTAAAGGTTGACTGTGGATGTTTTACAGCAAAAGAAAGGAGTCCCAACAAGGATTCGGAGATGAGTCCAGATCACCCACAACAGGTGTGTCATTTTTGTCTGTGTCAAAGAGTAAAATATGTATGTCACAGGTGAATGCAGTTCTCAAAGGATCTGTTTTTCAGGTGACAACATCAGAGACTTCCTGCTCAGCCTCCGGTACTTTCGTATCTTCATTGCTCTATGGAACATCTTCATGATGTTCTGCATGATTGTGTGAGTATTCCACCCTGAGTTGATGCTACTCATTTGCAAGTAGATGTGTAATGGTTGAACTTGTTGATTTCGACCAGGCTGCAATGTTTTAAGAGGCAGTCTCTCAACTAAAATATTACTTTAAAGGATAGTTCTTACTGTCAAAACATTACAAGATAATGTGTGTTCATCACATACATGCATATTGTCTGTGTAGGTAAACACTGATGTATCAGTGTAAGTTCTATATATATTCATTATAACAAGTGTCTAAATAAAAAAGGGACCTACGTCAAATACAACAAAGTCATTGTTTTGTGATGTTGTAAAAATGTTTTAATAGTTAAAATAATAATAACAATAACTGTTGAAATAATGTTTATTTTTAGAATAAAACAATGCTTTATTTCCAATAAGAATTATCTTTTGAATTCATTTTTTTCAAGTTAGTGTAGAAACATTTGTGTGATATCACTGGCATAGTTATTTAAAGTATTTATGCTTTCTTTTCCTCGTAAATCTGGTTTAACTGTGCTCCAATTTGTGATTTCCTACATGTGCCAGAATACCTTTTTTAACATTCCTTAAAATAGGCTCTGAAGTTGTTGCTCTTCTAACTGTCTGCATGTCTCTAATCCTCACAGATTGTTTGGGTCATGATCCAGCTTTGTGAACTGGACTTTCATCAGGATGCTGATTTTCTAGGGTGGATGCTATAAACTTCTTCTAAACTGGAGTTTACTGTTCTTTTGGCCCTTACAATTGTATTTATGGTTCATTTTTTATTAACAACCCAAAATCATAAATCTGCTTCCGGCTGTACTGGAATTTATGAATCACTGTATTTATTTTTGTCTTATAGAAGTTGTTACATTTGTACCCTTTTTGGTTGAACTGTATCTACGCCAGCACACGTGCCATTGCTGGACATGTATTGTCTTGTGCCCATGGGCTTCAATATTGAACAGGAGCATTTTTCTCCAGCATATCAGTTTTGAAACAGTAGAGATGAAAATTATAAACAGCCTTCACTTACAGGATTAAAAACTTGCTAAATAAGCTGAAAAAGCTGCAGGGAACTAGATTTAATGTGAGTCAAAATGATCTGTCACTTACAGAACCCTACATCCCCTCTGTACAAACATGTCCAAATGTACTCATCAGCTTGCCCCTTATTTCAATCTGGAAAAAATATCACTTTTTCCTTTATTCGGGGGCACCTGTGCTATGACTAAATGTTTAAGCCCTACAATGTAAATGTGTTCTTATTCCTAACAATAAAAATACACAGTTTTCTTATGCAATGTCTGTTTATTGACTTGAAAAAATGGTTTTGACTGTATTGGGACAAGGAACATACGATCTGACCTCATTAACTCAAATGGGCATTGGCCCTGACGTGACTATTAATGTCATTATGAGAACCCCTTATAATACTTAATACGGATAATAACTGTATATTCTATGTACTGTAAATGTATTACACTGTACAGTGCAGTTTATATACAATAGATTAACATACTTAGAATATGTGACTTTAAAATGCCACTGACAATGATGATTGTCTCTTCAGAGCGAAAAAGGTTGCAGATTTGAACCCACTGGCAGATGACATTTAATGTATGGATGGAAATAAACTGAATCGGGGTTTCTTTGTGTGGACTGAGAGCCACTGCTAAGGGTTAGGTGTGGAGAAGCAGGCAAATAAATGCAATAGACACAATACCTTTGTTGCCCTCTTTATTCAAACCCCAATTCAGAAAAAAACAAGGCAGCTTAAAGCGAGCATTAACATGCACATGTATTTCATTTTTTATTTAGCAGTGCCTGAGGAGTAGACGAAATATAATACATAAAATAAAGCAATGCAAATAAATGGAAGTGATTGAAATTGAAAGTCCATTTATTTGTATCTTACTCCTCTTTGAATTTATTTTTTAGATAATGTATTCCTATACCACGGAATTATAATATTGCTTTGTCTTTATATTATTTATTTATTTTATCTCTTGCGAATGTGAACAATTGGTTACGTAAAATTCTCCCATCATGCTCTGCGCGACCGCTTGACAAAAAGCCGGATGAGAAGGCAGAGGAGGAGGAGGCTACCAGCCGAGGGGGGTAGCCGATTCCTGGAGAGGATTTTCTGTTCTCGTCATATTAAAACGTAACGGCGGCGAATGAAAACAACAATAAAAGCATCATAAAACATGGTGCTTACTCCCAGAGAAGCTCTGTCGTCGGGCCTGTGAGGGTCGGCAGGTTTCGCACCGCCGCCTCTTCGGGGGATTCTGCTGTCTGGGTCCGACCTGACCCTCTCACCGCCGGGCGATGACAGCAACTCCAGCCACTCCGCAGCTGATGAGAGACCGGCTGCTGCTGGCCATCGACGGCCAGAGCAATGTGAGTATAACCGGTACTTTCCAAAGGACGAACTGGGTGCGTAGAGGCAGATAACAAGGCCAAGCTGACTTGACAAAGTGGGGGCTTTCACTTATAATGTTCTTGCTAATTAGCTTGCTAACATCACAGGTTAGCTCAAGTAACTAACAGGCATTCCAATGGCTTGCTAGCTGGCTAATGTTGATGTAGCCAAGTTTTTTTTTTTGTGTTCACTTAAAACGCTTCAAGACTAAAGACGTGAGGGAGAAAGTGGTAACAGAGACCTTTTGGTTCTAGAGACACTGATTAATTAGGGTTTCAGTGAGATCAAGGCAATAGATTACATTATAATCTCCTCTGTCACTATAATGCAGTTGATGAGATTGTCATGTTTTCTAGCAAGATCCATGGTACAACATACTGTTAAAGTCAAACAATATAATAATATTAAACTAATTGTTTTGCATTATGCTGTCCTATTGTTCTATACCACTGGTATTACCACCTTGAAAACTACTGTAAAATACTATTGTGAAACACTTAACTCAAAAGTTGTTTTCACTGCTAACCAGAACAAAGGAAAGCATGACCATTTTTAGTATAATGCTTACGGCAATGTTGGGTTTACAAGTTAAAGCAGTTCACTTAATGAGATGATGTGTTTGATTAATATCTTCTATATTATTTTAGATCACACATACGTGGAAATGGTGTCTTTCAACACTTGCAACAAGAGTGTGCCAGCTGAGGTCATTAT